TCAACGCATACAAATGATTTTACTGAATGACATTGTTTACTGGTTCTATTTCTTGCACTATAAGGAATAAACATTGAACGACTTGAAAAAACGATACTAAGACTGGACAACCTAACCCTAACATAACACGAACAAGACTAATTGAAGCTTCTTCCCCGGCAACATCGAACTCACACTAAAACGTCACTTTCTTGCGTACCGCGTCACACTTTCACTCGTTCAATATTATAGCTTCGCACCAGCATTCATGCGCACCAATTTGTCTAGTTAAACATACATTATAACATACATCGTGACATTAAATTTGACTTAATTGGATGTCTAATTATTTTTTTATGAATTAATTAATATTTTGACCAAATTAGTAGGCATTTCTATCCAACCTGTGACCTACTTAGGTCTGTTTATTTTTAGTTTTACATTTGTTCCCTCACCATATATGGTCTGCGGTATAATGACCGGTTTTTTCCGCTGTCTTACTAAGAGAGTCTTAGACTCAGAAATGTTCCATCAAGATATGATTGATTGATTCAGACCAGATGACCACCCCAGTGGTATAGTGGTTAGAATCTCGGCGCGCCACGGCGGCGGTTGAGGTTCGATTCCTCGGTTCGGAGCCGAGTAGGGTGGCCCTGTTACGCAGTGGCCTGGATCCCGCTCGCCCATAGGCGGCGTAGATCCCATGACCCTCAGGGTGGCCCTTGTGGCCTGGATCGCATTTCGATCCCATGACCCTCGACCTGTGTGGTCGTATGACTTATGTGACTCACAATAGGCACACAATGGGCAGTCTTTGGTCAGACGTCGTTGAGAGTTGATAAGCCCTGTGTGTTACCGTGCAGTATTAAGTTGTTTAAGTAGCATATTAATATATTACTTGTGGTTAAGTAATTCTTTATGCTTATCGCAGTGTTTTGTATACTGTGGTGATTTTTCTGAAGTGTTAAAAGCTGTGATAGTGTATCATATTATTTTTTTCCCACGAATTGTAAGTTGGGTTTTGATCATTCTGTAAATCCATTTTATTTTTGTATAAATCTAGTGTTCTGTCACGACTTTGTACACTCATTACAAGTTATATGCAGATTAAATGTATTGTTGGCATCAGTAGTTTCTCTAGTGTTTCCCCTAGACATCAATTACGAGTCCTAGCGAACTAGTGTGTTAACTTTCCTTTATTTAGGCTTGTCGCCATCTGTGTGTAATCAGTTAAACGAATCCGGGAGCGTTCGCCATCTATCTGGCTGATAGATTGGTTTCCGTTACAAACCACACCACATGCGTCATCACGTTCAATAGCGCGTCATCACATTTAATAGGCGCGCAATGGTTTTAGTCATAACACTCGACTGTAAGTAAAAAAATGTAAAGTACTAAAAATTTTTTTCATAAAAAACGTTTTAATAACAAGCAGCCAATACCTGCGACCAAACGGAGGCTTGAGCGCTGTCCGTATTGTCATCGAAACATAACGAAGGCCAGCTTCGATTCTTGGTGAGTATAGACAATAAGGTCTTGCGAGTTTTTATATAAGCACTATGCGTTTATGTTTCCATTTAAGTTGTGTTTATGTTATGAGTGTTGAGTTTCTGTTTCCGTTTGTGTTTTTTGCGTATGCATTTGTGTTTGCATTGTGTTTGTGTTTTTATTTGTGTTTTTATTTGCGTTTGCTTTTGTGTGTGTTTGTTTATGTTTTCGTTTGTGTTTGTTTGCATTGTGTTTCCTTTTGTGTTTGTGTTGTGTTTGTGTTTTCTATTGTGTTTGTGTTTGCATTGTGTTTGTGTTATGTTTGAGCAAATGTTTTGTGTTTAGTTAAGCACGGTTACGCAGCTAGTTCAAATACACATAAAGACAATGATGGCGATGACAAATCTAATGTGGAGGTTTAAACAAAACAAATATACAAATATAGCCTATACATATTTTATTTCTCAAAAATAAACATTTGTTTATAATTTTGTTCATGTGTCTAACAACTCTAAAACAAACTAAACTAATAATTTCTTGTCTTCACCAGAATACAAAGTTGCTGATTAAGACATTCAAGTCTTGATACACACAAGGGAGCCGCCATTTTGTTTGTTTACATCAGACAAGCGAAGAGAACCAACAGTTACATTAGACAAGGGGAGAGAACTAACAGTTACAGATGGATCAACACAAAAACACAACCTCCCCACTATAATTTCCTTCAGAGTTTGGTCCACTGTGGGGATATGACCACCACCCGCCATATCCCAGTATGTAGACAGCAGCTCCACTGGAGCCTGGACATGTACATGTTGTGTACGTGTACGTGTACAAACCTTCCCTCTCACGTACGTGTGTCCATTGGCCCACAGAGACCTGTTTAGGACAGCCATGAGGATGTGAAACTATAACGGTCAACTGGTCTACACCAACAAATCTCCTGTATTTGTCCCTTACTTTCCCCCCATAGATCCTCAAAGTGCTGACACATCTTGTCCAGTTCATTAACCAACTCTAAGTCACATGACACACAGGTAAACTTACACCAGTCTCCCTCAATGTTTGCCTCTCTCACCCACCAGCCATCAAGACTGACCCCAGGACTTTTATTGTCATCAAAACCTACAACACACCTGGTCTGTCTCGCCTCACTCTCATCAAACACCACATGTGTGGCAGTTACCACACAAACCTCCCCCCCCCCACACTTTGCTGGGTGTGTCCGAGTGTTGACACTTGCCACATGGACAAGTGCCCATGTTGTCACTCTCTGTGTACTTGACCACCTCATACACCCTCCCTGTCCCTGTCCTCAACACGTCACTTCCTCTGGTGTTATAAAATGGATACTGACCACTAAAGCATGAAACATACTTTGGTCTCTTTAGACTGGTGTACTTGACCTTTATCATGACCGTTAGGGCAGACAAAGTTTTGATTACCTCCAACATGATGACGTCATGATAACGTGCGGGGAGATGATCCAAGTTAAAATCATTAACAGGTATAAAGTGGACATGACCTGGATTCTTCTTACATCTGGTATAGTGCTTGTGTAAGTCAGCTTCACCTCCATAGCAGTATTCGGTTTCATGATGTCCTGGAGAGATACAAGGGGAGGGAATTGTTATTCTAAAAAAATTCAATTTGAACGGTGTAACTATAAAAATTAACACACACTTATTATTTCTAATACAACTAGCCATCGGTACCCGTTACAAGGGCAATTTTGGTGACTTTTAGTTCTCTTCTCTTTACAAAAGGCTACCCGGTTTTTCTTTTAGATATTTATCTCCGGGGAGCGGCATTTAATTCTGTCCGAGGAGGGTTCGGGGGTTGTGTGTGCGTTCGGGAGGGGGGGGCGGATACTGGTTTTTCTATATTTTTGTATGAATTACGTTTTTCAATTTTTTTCGTAGGTGAAAGGGGAAGAAACTTTAGAGATGCCTGAAGAAAATGTATATACCTATGGAAAGTGAGTAATCAAATGAATTGTAATTAAGCTTTTAAAAAAGTCATTATCAAAACTTAGGAAAACAAACATTTTATTGATCAAGAGCATTGGAATGAAAACGTTGTTTAGATTATGTAAAGAGGGGTTTTGTTTTATGTACTGTCTATGTTTATAGGCCTACTTGCTTAAAATAACATAGACTACCAATACTTATTAGAAAAATTAAAACAAAATTATATACAGTATTAGTCAACACAATACCATATTAAATGCACTCGCTGATTAAGAGACTTAAAATTAAGAGACTTAAAAGATTTCGCTAAAAACCCGGCTGTTCAATTGTAGTTATGTTGGTTTTTGTCTTTTAAAAATACATGTTTTGGCTGAGCATGGGTCTGACCGAACTATCCCTTCATATGCTAAAATGACAGAAACAGTTGAACTCTATTTTACCTGCCTGGTGTCCCGCCAAGTCCCAATAGACAAATTTATCATCAACATATAAAAAATTTAACATTGACTTCGTGTGTCTCGGACCCATGCCACCCGCATGTTATCAATTACATTATCATCTCGGCCAATTAAGGCACCTTATTATTCATGAAGAAAAAAAAATGTATTTAAGAAACTTAACTTACGCGAATAGGCCTATTCTTTCAAACTAAATTTTATCCCAAATTAGCCAATTCTATAGCTAAAAAAACAAAGATTTCTATAAATTAATTAAGGCCTGTAATATAGAAATGTATCCTTTGAATAGATTCTAGTGTATATATAGCCTAAATCTAGATCTTAGCGTCTACGTCTAGTTTTTCGGTAAATCCAGTCTAGATCTAAAATCTCTAGATATAGAATCCAAATAGATAAGTTAAATTTTATAAGTTTAGGCAGCGAAAAATGTATTGTATACATTTCATAGCGTACGTAGATCTAAATCAAATTAAATAAAATAGTTCATTTCTTTATATTCTAAAATCGGAAGATGAAGCCATTAGTTTTGTGTACTTTCCTTAGTGTAAACATTTGTGAATTCATTGGTAATCGCGTTCTTGTCACAACTATAAACACTTTTCTGGGTGCATAATTAAAACTGTTTTTCTTTATTCGAATAAGTCTTTATTTTTTTAAATTTTCCTCTTTAAATAAAATTTTGTTTATACATTTAAAACATCTACCATATTATTTTCAACAAAAATCCGTATCAATTTCTTTATGTATCGCTGAAGATACTGATATGATAGCCTGTGAAAATATTTTGCGGACAGAGAGAGAGAGAGAGAATTGCGCACATGGGCTTTTAAATATTAGGATATTTTTATTAGCTGGTGAAGATGAAGGAGAGTTGAGATGTATTATGTGGTATATATTGCCTGCAAAATGACCATTTTTACTAACCATAAATTGTCTACCAATTTATCATGTATATATGTAGTTATTTGCCCAGCAGATCTGTATAAATTGAACTTCTTAAATTTTACGTACATTTTGCATATATATTTCACACAATATGAGGCACACCTGGTATAAAACCTCTTTCTGTATTTGTTTCTTCTAAATGTGCTGTCTCATCATGCCTTTCTTCCAACTGTGTTGTCTCATCTTGTCTATGTGTTAGACCTAAAACAATTTAACATCAAGGTTTCAATTAGATTAAACACAAACCTATACCAGTAAATAAAGCGTTTCTCTATTTGTAAAGCAACTGGTTCTAAAGATTTACAACAAATACAAAACATGTTGCCTAGAAAAATTTATTTGACCTTTCTCTGCCATCTGATTTTCTCTTTTCTTTCCACCTGTATTTTCCATCTCTGACAACTTTACCTGCAATAAAAAAATTATTTTAAAATAAACTTACATTATATGATTTTGTTACAAAATGTATCATCATTTAACTCATCCTAAGGATGAGTTCCACATTTTATTCCGAGGATGTGAAGACAGTTTGGTGTGGTGCTGGCAAACATAATCTGGTCATAGAACTCAACTGGAGTTGAATCAGCTGAACTCTAGTTCAAATCATCCACCATTACCTAGTATCACAGTAAATTACATTACATGTTTTCTTTACCTTAAATAACGGTTACATCAGATAGTAGCCTACATAAAAAATTATATCGTTCAATATCAAATTTGAATTGTTTTTAACTAGTACAATATTAAAAAGTAGCTTAACACAATCGCACTTGAAATGAAATGAAATTTATATAATTTATATAGAAAATATAAACTTTTAACAGTGTCCGCCCCCCCCCCCAAGAAAGTCTACCGCCCCCCGCCCCCTCCCCCCGAAAATTTCAAGTGCTCCCGGAGAAAAAAGTCTGGAAGATACACTGCTACATAGATAGTTATTCAGATCTAGATTCTATATAATTATCTAGATATAATCTTTATCCATATCTCATTACTACTGGATTTATTGGTGTTGCAATATAATAAATTAGTTAGATATAAAGACCTATTGGTACTACCGCAGTTTAGCGTCGGTTATTATTTCTGAATGGTATAGCACAGGGGTCGGCAACCTTTTGCTACGGAAGAGCCAAAAGTTACAATTTACAAAATTTCCCAGGTTTTAAAGAGCCACTGACATTTTTATTTCAATATTATGATATTTGATAAGGATTAGGTAAATAGATATAATTCTTGATTGAAATAAATAGCGTTAAATATTAACTAATATTAATTAATATAAAAACATATACATGATTCGCACAAAAAGTGTTTTAGCTAGCTCTGCTATGACAAACTTAGTAATCAATTAATATAACTATAGGACTATCCCAATCCACTTTTCTTGCTTTCTTTACGACATCATCGGCTTAGAAGGTGTCTCTCGCGGCGGCCAGGCAGGCCTCAGAACTGCCAACTCCGGCTAATTGGCTTGGGTATCGGTGTGATTACCATATCGATCGCTACTGCCCATCGGTTCTCACATGGCGTTTCTTTCAACCTATTCGAAAAGTCTGGAAGAAACACCGTATCCCTTTGGTTACAAAATCTAGATCTAGAAGTCTAACATCTGTAGTAGCTTACAACTACAGTTTACTACAGTGTCTAGACTTGAGTGACCAGCTTATATTATTTCCTTTTTATTCTCCAGGCAAATCGCTACCACCCCCACCCCGCTTTGGTTCACGGCGAATGTTTACAATCGTAGAGCCGGGTTAGTGACGGCTATTAGGGGCAGATAATTTAGTATTAAACTATTTGAAACGAAGGGGAGGTAACAATTACTGATTCATCTTTTCTTTGTCTGTAAACGGCTGCTTACACTAGGGGGGAGGGGGAGGAGGGGGTAGTGTTGGATTCACACATTTTGAATTGCTAGATTGCGGCGTGTGCTACGTATTTTTTATTGTACGATTAATTATTTTACATTCTAAGAAAGTAGGTCTACTGTTCTGTTACTGTTAGTGCAGACTTTTTTCTTCGTTCTTAATTTTAGTGTTGGAAGAGATTTCCAACAAAATTAAGTATACGTGTCAACTGGTTATGCGCCATATGTGCCGTTACTCCGATTTCAGCCTGCTTTTCTTTTTGCTACCATAGACTATGTCCAACCAAGAATGTCCAACCAAAAATCACTACAAGGCATCATTTGCTGAATAGTTGCTAGTTAACAAGCCTCATCTGCAACCATGAGCTTTACCCACTCGACTACCCCTGTTAGTGCCAGCGATCTAGATCTAAATGCTAGATCTAGCTAGACTAGAAAATACTAGATATATTTCTATATCATAATATAGGCTTTAGTTTAATATAAAGTAGTGTTAGCACAGGACAGCCTCCAAGACGGCGCATTAGGTAAACGGCCATCTGCAAAACGCCCGTCCGACGATATCTGAACACCAAATTTGTCTTTTATGAAGTGCGGAGCTCCTTTAGAGCGGAGCTTGAAGGGAGGTGGGGGGGGGGAGAGATTGCCTTTCCTGTTGTCACTACCACTAGCCACTTGTGTACATCATAATCACAAGTTTCGTCTGAAGCTTAATGGGCAGACGAAGTTTATAGGTGGGACTGGAAGATTAAGGCCTTTACAGAAGCCACCGTGTCACGGTCATTTTTGAGCCGAAGTCTCAGGACAGCAGGTTGCACGTGAATTTGTATGGCCGAGGGACCAGAGAACAGCATACCACCGTGTTAAATTGAACACCGATATAATCAACCGAATTAAAGTCAATTACATCTATTCGTTAAGCAAAACGTCGCAAAAGCCTTATCGCGGTAGTGCTTGTTTTGACTTTTTAAAGAAAAATTACGGTATCTCTACACAATAACCGTAACTCATAAAATGTGTAGGCCTAATACCAATGCCTACAGATAAAATAAACAGTTAGATTCATATGAATCGCCAATAAATGACGTCATACTTTTCAGAATAATTTCCCTCTCCCCCAATTGTCATTAAAACCAGATCACTGACTTAATATCATCGCAAAGTTCTACCGAACCCAAACCCTAAATCACAAATTCTAACGAAAACGAATATGTTCTTCATCATTTAATATTCTATCCCTTATTTTGAGTCTAATGTCATTTATGGGGAATATGGCGCCTTTTTCATAGAATAATTAAATATCATTTCAAACATGTTCAGTAAAACACAACAAAAAAATATTTAAAAATCAACAACAGCAAACACATAATTGAAAGTATGAATTAAATAATTAAAAACTGTCTTTTAAAGTTCTCTGAGTATCACATATTTTTGATAACTCATCGCAAGTAGATCTACAGCCTACTTCTTGGCTTACTTATCGGCAAACATTGATTATCTGTACAGGAACTCCGTGATTGATATGTTTAAAAAACTTTGCAGTAAAGTTTTTAAATAACATTGCAAATGTAAATCCGATTACCTAGTTTTCCTTTTTTTTCGCATACAATATGTACAATACAATTTATGGCAGCCTCTCGAATAACAGGATGCCATTGTTTATGTCGCCTTTACACGTGAAAACCAAATTGTTTTTGCTTTTTAAATTTATTTTTATTTAGTTACCGAAAATATTAAAAACATCAGATACATCCAATCTTTAGTAAAGTCCGAAAAAAAAACCGGACAAACAGGAGGTTATAACCATATTAACTGTAACTACGCCGTGCATGGTTTTCAAATTAATTAATGGGCCTTTCGAATACCTTCTCGCTCGCGTCCATTAAAAAAAGGAAAATCTGAAATGCAAGACTAACAATTTAGTTGTTTTAAATATTCATTGTTGTAGACAATAAAGTAGTCTGTATTGCTTTTAGCATTTATGATAAAAATATAATTAATTCTGACTGTAGACAGCATTAGTTTTGCAAAAACGAATAATATTGATTAATAAAGTAATTACTGATTTGGTTGAATTTGACAAATACAGTTAAATGTATAGGTCTTTATATATCTATATTAAGAGAGTGATTATTTACCCTACTTTAGTTCCATAGTCTTATAAATATTCCATTATGTTAGATGTTTTTACAGAATAGATTGTTTTGCGTTTATTGTTTTATGGTAGCTTTGTGTGTATATTTAGTTTTTGTTTTTGTTTTGTTTTGTGTGATAAATTATTTGTGTTGACAGCCTAAATTATGTATATTTATTTTGTTTTCTTCAGGGTAGGCCTACTCTTTGATTTTTTTTTACACCGTTTCGAAGCAATGACATACAGCTAGTGTATATATATATATATATATATATATATATATATATATATATATATATATATATATATATATATATATATATATATATATATATATATATATATATATATTTCTCTATATAGATCGATGATTCTTTTTCGTTCCCGCGGAGGGAGGGGGGGGGGGGGGGCGGGGGGGGGGGGGGGGGGGGAGGGTGTTGACACCATTAGGTTCCGCACCTTGCGACACCCAACCTAGCGACGCCACTGTATATATATATATGTAGCCTTTTTCCCCCTAACCTGTAAACCTGTGTACACCTGTGTTGTAATTGTTTAATGCATTTTAAACATGATAGTTATAAACCTTAAATAAATACGATGTTATTTAAACCTTACCTAACAAAGTTGCATTTCCGATCGATTAAAGGTTCTTATTAATTATAATTAAAACAATCATCCTAAAACATATTACATATATTACATATATTTTATCGCCATAATCGAACTATTTTTTTCACAATATTAATACATTTCTAATATTTTTTATAGAATACATATTTTAATATTACTATTTAGTGAATGTAAAACTAATTATTTTTCTGCAACCTGTGAAATTTAAGGTTCCCTTAAAATTAAAAATACTAATGTGCTACATCGTGTTAATACAATTATATTTCAATAAACTGATGTGGAATAAAGTGATTGAAAAAAATTCACAATGAGAATTACCTTGTGACGTTTTTTGGGTCAAATGTGTTTGCAGACAGCTTTAATTCTGGCACAGACTATCTATGGTGTTGTCTACAGTTTGATAAAATAGAAAAAAAGCCGTACCAAGTACGACCCGCGTGACTAGTAGAGGGATTCTCAAACTTCAGGTTGTTAGGTTGATTGTTTATAGTTGCCAGTTTTAGTGTTGCACGGCGGGTTAGTTAGAGCACACGTTCAACAACTGAAAACACGTGAGTTCTTTTCACCGGACTCGAGGACACAGGACAAAGTGTTGAGTAACTAGATCTGGTATAGATCTGACAATATAATCCTTTACATGACTAAAATAGATCTGACAATATAATCGTTTACATGACTAGAATAGATCTGAAAATATAGTCCTCTACATGACGATGTCAAGAAAACATAAGTCTTGGAGTTTAACTTCGCTATAAGGAGTGACGTCTGAATTAGAACTTCACTA